GCATTTCAGTTCATTTCAATGTTTTAGATTTTCATATTGTCATGTCCTGGAGCGTGAAAAAAGTATATTGATAAAAAAGGTTACATATGCTTTGTAGGTGTGAGTCTTTTTCACATTTGCAATAAGTTCCAAATTCCTACTTTACAGATTTGTTTCTCTTCCATTCATTCTGCCATTGATTGCATATTCAGTGATTTTTATTTAACCCATATATCAAAGCTGATTTCATGCTGCCAGCACAGCAGCCAGGAAGAGTTTGGGTTTGAGCATTTTGCCCAAAGAAATACTCATGGAGCCAGGGATGGAAATTTGGTTTCTGCTCAGAAAAAAGTCCTACTCTACTTATTACTCTAAGTCCTCTCTAAACAGTGACTACACCATTAGACTGTATTTGAATTGCTGAGCAAGATTATGCCTAAGCCAAAGTCTAACATTATTGGAAAAAGTGGACTCATAGTGTCATTCCACAACACAGAAACACTGAAGGGGAATATTTGACTTCAACGGTAACAGATGATATTCTGTTAAATAGTTCTCTTACAAACCACACGAGGGCCTGCTGTCGACATTTAAGTCCAGTCAACGAGGCTGTTGGGGTTAGAACTGTTCACAACAACAACAACACATGATTAGGGTTTTCACACCTTGACACATATTCTGTCTCCTTCAGATGTGTCTTTCCTAGATTCCTGGTGACCTAAACTGCACCTAGGTGGAAAATAACCTTGGCGCGGACTTATTTCAATGAGCATTGAAAAAAAAGGGGGTGAGACAAGGAAATGAAAGTTGAGTTGTTGCCTAGAAAAAGCAATGAAGTAAAAAGGGGTTATGGCAGTACACGTGGGTGGTGTGATATGCCAGGAGTGCTTTCATCACCTTCTCTTACTGAATTTTCTTATTGCATTCACGCTCTGAAACCCCTGGCACAAAACCACATTACTGACTTATTATGAAAAAGGAAAACAAAACACAGATATGGTTAGAACTGACAGGTCTTTTCTACTAGTTCTTTTCTCTGTGCCAGAGTTTTCTTTCCGTACTTTTATACCAGCTTAAACACTATGACTTGTTTATTTGGAGATAGTTATATCACAGTATAGCTATTAAGGCACATTTTGGGGATTAACTTTTTTAAGCAACTGTCTGAACCTGCAGGCTCTGAGTGAGAAACCAGATGTGATATGACCAGTTTGCCATGTTAAAAAATAGCTGTCCTCATTTCTGTGGCCCGGTGACGATGATCTGGAGCTCATGTAGGTTTGTTAAATGGGCCAGCTCCTGAGTGAATCGCACCAAGGTCTAAGATTCGAGATTGAGATGCATCAAGTGGATCAGCAACTTTCCAAACAGCTGGAAATTAAAAAAAGAAAACAGGCTTCTATTGTTAACATGCTGTGTTTGTC